CTACTGTCCTGTTGCTTTTAGCTTCTAACTACTGTCCTGTTGCTTTTAGCATCAAGCTACTGTTCTGCTGCTTTTAGCATTAAGCTACTGTCCTGTTGCTTTTAGCTTCAAGTTGCTGTTCTGCTGCTTTTAGCGTCTAGCTACTATTCTGCTACGTTTAGCTTCTAGCTATTGTTCTGCTGCTTTTAGTTTCAAACTGCTGTTCTGCTGCTTTTAGATTTAAGTTACTGTTCTGCTGCTTTTAGCTTCTAGCTGCTGTTCTTCTGTTTTTAGCTTCAAGCTGTTGTTCTGCTACTTTTAGCTTCTAGCTATTTTTCTGCTGCTTTTAGCTTCTAGCTATTGTTCTGCTGCTTTCAGCTTCAAGCTGCTGTTTAGCTGATTTTAGCTTCTAGCTAATGTTCTGCTTGTTTTAATGTGAACACCTTTGTTTTAGCTTTTTAAACAAAGTTCAGCAGTGGTTCAGCTCAACGTTCTCACAGAAACAACAGTTTCTTCAGTTTTCACTGCAGTCGTTCTGCGTGTTCAGATGCCTCTGCAGCTAAATGTCCAAACAAAGACGACATGTGAGAAGCTGCTGTGCACTCTGCTCCTGGTGTCAACATTCACACGCATGTGGTGCAAAGGCTGCAGCCTCAGGTGTATTTAAGGAGACCCCCCCACAGTGTTCGGGCCTAAAAGAGGTTTTGAAGTTGAGCTTGAGAAAATAACCTCCTGCTTTAACCTGCAGTCTTTATTTAACATCGAGCAACTGATGCTACAAGCCAGACAGCCGCTGCTGCAAAAAGCCAAGAATAAAAAAACCAAAGTTCAGCCCCAGCATCACCTGCGATCAGTGCGAGCGGGCGTCTGCTTCAATCACATACTGTCGTTTTAAAGAGCAAGAATCAGGGCCCCGGGGAGGGGGGGGGGGAGGGGGCTTTAAGAGGAGCCTGTGGCAGCACTGATAGGTCCTAACCTGCCTCTGGTTTCCTGTTCTCACCATCAAGCTTCAGTCTGACTGAAAAGCCTGCACTGCTTTAAAATACTTATCACCAGCCACCAAAGGTTATAGGGTGAAGATGTTTTTACCCGTGTCTGTTTGTTAGCAAAACATCTCATGAACCACATGGATTTTATTGAAACTCTCCGAAACTAATTATTGGATGTCTGTCTATAGCCGATTACTTTTTGCAGCCAAAGATGGCTGCCACAGTAACTACAACACAAAAAATGGCTGTAATTCAGTCAGCTATGCAGATATTGTGTTAAAGTTTGTAGTAGTAGCTGAGAGTCATTCACAACATACACTCTGAGTGCTGACCCTTTTCTGAAGATCAGATGAAACATTATATTATTTTAAAGTTTGAACAAACACCTGCCATTTCTCAACACGACAGTAAAAGTGTGGCATGTGAGGCGGGTGACATGTGTTCCTTTAAGGACCGTTATACTTTCATTCATAAATACTTGTACACAGGACTGAATATATTTGAGGTGAAATTAGTTTTTAGACCCAATCAGTGTGTAAAAGGTGTTTGTGTGTTCAGAGTGTAACAATGATCGGAGGGGAAAGTGTACTCCTATAAAGTCCAGTGTATGATATAATTTTTTGACACGTTTAATTTTTTGACACCTTTAAATAGAAACTGAATGATTGATAAGAATTTAGTTTAAATAAATCTGGTTGAAAGTGTCAGCTGTCAGGCCCCAGTCAAAGAAGGAAGTCTGAAAGGCAACATGATTTATTTCTGTTCGATGCAAATGCAGAACAGTTATAGCTCTGGTGCTCCTTTATCAAACATGAATCAATGTTTGTGTGTGTGTGTGTGTGTGTGTGTGTGTGTGTGTGTGTGATGACCGATTAACTGGAAAATTCATTTCTGGGGGAGTGGTGTGTGTGTGTGAGAGAGGAGGGGAGTAAGTAACAGAGCTGAAGTGTGTGTTATAGAACCCTGTGATGTCTCTCTGCAGATCACTGTTCTGACCCATTAGGACGGAGTGTGTGTGAGTGTGAGTGTGAGTGTGAGTGTGTGTCCTCAGGGTTGGGACATGGTGCCTGCTCTGTCACGGCTCTGTGAGTATGGAACATGTGTTTCAGCTTCATGCCTCCGCTATCTGCCTTCTGCTTGCACTTCTCACTGCAGCTGCATCAAACAAACTCTGCTCCCACACACACACAAACACACACACACACGCACACACGCACACACACACACACGCACACGCACACACACACACACACACACAGAACTGATGCAGTTTTGCTTTTGATTGACCTCCAACATGAGTCTGAATCCTCGCACACATTTCCACCTCTGCCAGATTTCTACTGAAATCTGGAACACACACACAACACACACAACACACACACACACACACACACATCCACCGACCATCACTTCACAAGCACTGTCAGCTACTACCACGCCAAAACTTAGCTCAACATTTGTAAAACTCCCTTGTCATTTTGTGCTGGATAATGGTGATTATTTGTGGTGGCCGTCTTTGATTGGACTGATTTCAAAGTTCACACCTTGAAGAAGCTCTTCTAAACACATTCAGCAGTTCTGGAGATATTTTACTAACAAACAGATTATGCATATGGGACTGTCTGGCCTGGAGGACCAGCGTGTGTTTGTGTGTGTGTATGTGTGTGAAACTGCACTGGTTCTTACCATTCCAAGCAACCCTGTTCTTGGATTTTTGTTCAGCCTAATTAAGTATTTTCCGGGGGGGGGGGGGGGGGGGGGTGTCCTTTAAAGCTGTAAAACAATCAGGCTGAAGTCAGTGTTCCTGTAAACAGATACCTGCGCTCTCCACCAGCAGGCTGTTCAGCATACGGCCGTCTCATTAACAGGATCACTTTTCAAGCAGGCAAACAGTTAGCTCATTTATCCATCAGAGCACCGTGCACGGACACAAACATCAGAGCACCGTGCACGGACACAAACATCAGAGCACCGTGCACGGACGCAAACGCACGTTTCACGTCTTATTACTGTTTAACTGGAGAACTCAGCAACAAACGCAGCGTTTTAATACTCTGTGGCTCCTCTACAGTATAACACCAGTTTAGATTTACTTTCAGACAGTGGTGCAGTCTACATTTTTTGTAGTGGGTATACTGTGGTTAGAAACCAAAGTACACCAGTTAGTACAATGTAATTGTTAATTTATTATGATTTTTAAGCATATCAAAATGTCTCTGATGATTATATTTGAATACATTTACAACAAACTTTGTACAACAGTTGGCTTTGTATTAAAAACATGTTATAGATTTTATAAAACAGTATAAAAGCAGAACATGTTCAAGTATTAAGTAGTAAGTACAGAAGTATTATATATATATATATATAT